AATTTGCGGAGCAGAAAACGAAAACGACCGTACACTCTCACTGAGAACTCTCTCTTATATTATGCATCTATATGCTAAATTTGAAGAGATAAACCGTTATAGTTAGCGATTTTTTCCCATTTTTAATGGGCTCCAGGTCCAGCTGTTGTTTACTTTCGAATTGGAATATATATTCGGGCTTCGCTCTAGAAAATGTAAGCTTAGCTGATTTGGCGGTTGTTTTTCAAACACTACCCTAATTGAGATAATTTTTATAACAGATCTAGCAATGAGGAATTGTAAATCCTTCACATTTGACTAATTACAATATTAAATTGTTATTCTCCAAAATATTAAGTCTCGATTACAGTATTCTTGTTTAATTAGATATACATATATGTTTGTTATTAAACCCTATACTAACTTTTATGTTTTATGCAGATCAAATCACTTTAAAAACCAACCAGTTAAATGATCTCACAGAGAAGTTGTACGAAAAACGGCGTGAAGTACATAAATTTAAAAAGCAGCTTGAGTCTTTGCACTCTGAAAAAATAACTTTGCAACGAGGCCTAGAAAATACAACGCAGGAACGCGATAATTTTCGGATACTTCAAGCGGTACGTAATAATATTAATATTATATTATATAATATATATTAATTGTGAATTTCTTATGTAGGAATCAGCTCATCAAACTCAACAATTGACTACGGAAATAAGTGCTAATGAAGTTAAAATAAATTCTTTGAATTTAAAAATAGAACACCTCAATAACAACATTAAAGAATTACAGTCCGAGTTAAAAAATAAACAAAATTTGGTTGCTAGCTTACGTAAAGATTTGAGAGAAATAAAGGAGAAAAACGAAATGTTAGCGAAAGCTATCTCAAATGATGAATTCCGATTTATGAAAATGGGACATGAGCTGGAGGAAATGCGAAAAGAACGAAACTTAGTTGGACTTCAAATGGTACGCCGGAATGACGAAATCGTTGTTATTAAGGAAAAATTGCAAATTGCACAAAATGCTCTTGATAATGGTACCACACAATATAATCAACGTGTTGAAGATATACGACTTTTAAAAAAAGAAATATCAAATATATATACAGAACGTGAATGCTTAAAACATGCAATTAAAAGTACTGCTGATATGAGGAAAGAAATAGTACGCTTACAGCGAGCACTGAACCAAGAACGAATTCGAATAAGAGCACTTACTGAAGATGCAAAAACACCAACGGGAGTACACCGCTGGCGTATTTTAAAAGGAGAGGACCCTAAAAAGTATGAGTTGCTAGAAAAACTACAAGTATTGCAAAAGTAAGTAGTAATATAAGTGATAACAGTGGCATACAACAAATGCAGTATTTAATTATTCGGGATGATTCAATAATTCAAACACTAATAATATTTTAAATTTTTACAAGTTTAAAGTCAGTATGATATTTTAATGCCCATTTTAATACCACTATGACGTATATATATCCACCCATTGGGGGCATGTCGAATCGGATAAACTGTATCTCCTGGAGTTTTTAAGCTAGAACGTTAAACTTTGCACGTGAGCTGAAAGATTCTATAAGGACTGATGAAAAAATTGTGTATACGCCTTCTAATGGCGTGGCAAATCGGACCTGAAGATATAGTGATTATACTCATTCACGAAGTGAATTAGTATATTGGTTTTGTGCAATGTCCGTC